AATCTAGTTCATAAACATGGGTAGAGTATGACACGCCATTTGATGTTTTTAAAGTTGAAATAAAAAGTAATAATACAAAATAACATATTTGCTAACTTGATGGAACATTTAACATTGGATGTGGATAAGTGACAAGCTTATGAGAGCTTTAGAAGAACCATCTTCAATAATAAAAATGCTCAATTCTTCCTGGAGTGAAATGCGACTAAATAAATTACTGCTAGACAAAAAAATACATGTTCATGATGCTGCTCTTAAACGCGAGCTCTTAAATCTATGTCGCTTTAATAAACATCAAGCTTGTAACTTCCATATCTATCAAAATACATATTTAACAATCTACATTAAGGTGCACACATAAAAAATTAAAAATTATACATTTTCAAAATTGTTTCAATAAAAGTATGAATTATTAGATTTTTTCAACAGAGTCATCTGAACTTTCTCCCAAGTGAATGATTATATTAGTCTCCTCCCTATTAAACATTTGATGCTTGTCCCAGTCGTTTTTAATCAAGTACTCGGTATGTTTCACACGCAAACTGTAGGAGTCACCCTCGCTAGAGCATCGTCCCAAACTTTCAAAACTTCACCATAGCCATTTTCCCCAATATGATGATCATAGTACTGTTTGGCTATTCCCCAGACTAACTCAATATGGTTGTATTGATAATGGTAAGGGGGAGCCGCAAAACTTGATATCCATGTTCTGTAATATTTCGTCTATGATACCATATACGTTATCTTGGAGCCGATGGTTTATTAAGGTGACATAGATTTAAAAGCGTCATCGTCAAAATGTATCTATTTGTCTTGCAGCAAATGCTCCAATTGCATTTTACTCCAACTAAAATTGAGCATTTTTTCTATTAAGGCACTATAATAAGAGGCATTGTCCATGATTACTAAAGATGGCTCTTGTAACGCTGGTATCAGCTTCTCACATACCCATTTTTTTGAAAGAATCTTTGTACATGGAATCGCGGTAGTCAGCAATTTTTGATTTTGTAGCAAATAACAATGCAGTATCTCTCAAAAAACCGTTTTTGGTCCCAGCATGGAGAACAACATACCGCTTGCCGGTACTGTAATGGCCGCTTTTTGAACTCTTTACGTTTTTATCTTGCCAAACTCGTTTAAACGACCCTTTTGCAAATATCCACGTTTGATCTAAGAAAACGCATTGGATAGTTTGTACTATGCGGATTATTCATATAATGTCTCATAAGATAGATACGTTTGGAAACAGTGTCTAATTTTTCACACAAGAGTAGGTGGCTATTTTCTGTGTTGTAGGAAAATCCGCAAGCGTTCAATAGACGCCTCAAACTTGAATCGGAGGTGTTGTATATGTACTTTTTTTAAGCTCCTGATTGAGCGCAGAAGTCGCGATATGTTCTCGTTTACTTCTCATATCGTAGAAAGTATTCATAATTTCGGCATCACTTACATCATCGATCTTGCATTTTTTGATTTTGTGAGTTTCCCCAGGAGTTACTATGGGCAAGACTCTGCGCAAACTAATCTTCAGCGCATCTGCTACTCTCTCTAACAGGAGAACGCTGTTTTCATTCTCTTCATCGAAATACTCTAATAAATTTAGCACGAGCTGTCGACCTTCTCCATTGATCGTATTTCCGGGCATTTTACAATTTTATTTTGAAGATTGATAAAAGGACAACTCAAATTGCACGCCGATGCCAAGTAAGTTGTCGCTTTGACAAATATGATTGAAGGGCACTAATACGTAACGACAAAGTTTTCAAGACGGAGACACACAACTAAAAAACGTATGTCTTTAAGCTTACCGAACAAACGTTCACACACAGGGGTAGGTTGCATTTGTATGTATGAGGGAGATGGAGATATATAAAGGGATACTGGTAGTCTTACTTTGACCCGCCAAGAACGGTGTCTACAACTATATCGGAGTAAAGTTAATGGTAGAAAGTGTTCTGAGTCATCACAATCTCACCATTGTGCTTTCGGGGTTCCCGTGATGATCTTGGACACCAGCTATACCCTATTCCGAAACATAGAAAAAACTGAATTTTGCGGAAATCGTTATTTTTCCTGTCGACATTTGAGATGTTATTAAGGTAGCACAATTAGAATTTCAAAAAGAGATTCAATCTCTTGTCCTCTCTATAATCAACTTTTTATTTATTATGCTTGCCACATTGGTACTTTGCTTAGGTGAATAGAGTTTTTAAGTCTAATTACAAAAACTCATGTCATACACCGACATTGCCCAAAAAAATAAGTTCACGATTGGGCTATACCCTATTCATAGTCCATTTACGAACCGGCACAGCAAAGATGCAGCGGCCTAAGCGTTGCAATAGCTATTGGTCATTCGGCCAGAAAACTACGAACAAGTGCAGGATTCGACAGGATAGAACTCAGTCTCGGGGTATCGCCGGCAGATGCTCTTCATATTCGGTGCATACATAGCGTGTCTTAATACGTTAGTATGTCATCTACGGATACAACAGATGAAACTGAGAATATTTCTCCAAATACTTCCTTCAGCCATGCTTTCTCTTCAGTGATGTCTCCTCCCCGAAAACGTGACATGAAGGGACATTTGAATATTCAGACAAAAGAAATTGTCCTTAACGTTTATAAGAGCGAAATTTTAAAGCATCCTGAAATGAAAATTCATGATATTGAAACACGTGTGGCGAACAAAACAGGCTTACGTCCTAAAACAATTTTGAACATTGTTAAAGAGTATCAAAAGAAAAATGGTATCCACCACACAAGAGGCTGCATTACACGAAGCTGTTGGATACAGTTGATAACTTTGACTGGATTACAATCAGGCGCAAAGTCCATAATTTTTTTAAAGGCAGGAACTTCCCACCATAGACAAAGTATTGCAGGAGGTTAATAGTGATGAAAACTTACCTACTTTCAAAAGGACCACATTGTATAGCTTACTCAAAGAACTTCATTTTGAGTATAGAAAACGCGGCAGAAATAGTATTTTGATGGACATCCAAGAGATTATTTTATGGAGAAGAAATTATTTAAAATCAGTGAAGAAATACCGCGACCAGGGCAGCTAGATTTATTTCTTGGATGAAACGGGGACAAATGCTGGACATACAAAACCTAAAGTATGGGCTGACTCTACAATTAAATGAGCACTGCACGCCATTGGAGGCAATAACGTTCAATGAGTGCTTCAATCTTTTCTCGGACGCCAGAAATTCTACTATATGCAACAGGATGAGAAAAAATACCCATTCTCAAGAGAAACCCTAAAAAGTCCCTTTTCTTAGGGATAAATGTAACACTTTTTTAAAATTCGATTATTTGAGTTACAGCCAACTTTCGAAAAATTTTAGAAGCCACTTTTTTAGTATAGTTTAAACTTTGCTAAAAACATGACTTCTTTTGCTCACCCGGTATAAGTGGATAAATAAAAGAAATATACCGATCGAACCCTGCACATGTTCTCAACGAGTTGGTCAAGAACCTCCCGAATACCGCCTCTGTATATCTCTTTCCGTTCCGAAAATATCGGGATTTGAATTCGGGTAAACTTTTCCATGTTGCAAAGCAACTGTCCATCAGTTTATATACTTACAATAACATGGAAACACGAAATACAAACTATAAACAATAATTTATTGTACCTACTAGGAATCTGTGTTGATGGGTTGCTTTCACTCAGCATGCTGGCGAAATGTGAGTTGCAGACCTTAGGCAACAAGGTCGTTGAGCCATTTCTCCATAGGTGGAGATCACTGCGAGTAGGCGCGGAAAGGGCTATCACCCTTAGAGCACAGGTTAACATTATACCGATTCTTAATAACAATATATATGTTTCTCGTAATACCCATGGGAACAAGAAATGAGTAGGTTTAGAATCACAGCACCACAAACCACAACATCAGCAGAACAATACAAACAAGGCTACTTTTTGCCACATGGCATATATATAACAAGAATCAGGACAATGGAGAAGTTGTGTGATATTCAGAATCGCATAAGTAATGACATACCAGTGAAATATAGACTAAGTATAATCAGCCGGTGAAAAAATTATTGAAATCGGCCAATAAATTACAGAGAAATTGATACTTAAATTTGACGCATTATAGCGCAAAATCATCGCTTTAGTTCGTTCGCGTCTGACGTCACACTTCGACAGCGTCTGTGCGTTTAGTCATTAGTCTATAGACAATTCATAAGACACACCTGTGCGCTAGGACACGTGGTTTCCAGCTGATAACTATTGAGTACTGCGTAAGTTCATACCATTGTGGACGCCGCATCTGAAGGTACGTAGAAATTTTTTTTATTAGGGGGTTGTAATTGTTGTGGTCGTACATTTCGGAACGGTACAGTATTTATAACAACCTTTTTTTCTCATTTCGCTCATAACCGATCGGATATGCAGTCAACTAATTAAACAAATTAGGGCGGAAGACGTTTAGCCTACCATGTGTCCCGCTGTATGTGTGCCTATGCATGTGTGACATCACGCGTGACGTACAGACGGAATAAAAATATTCTCGCGAGGCGCAACTTTGATAGGCTGTAACTTTTTTGTTATTCGAAATAAATGAATAATTTTTCCACCATCTTGTTTCATTTTTCCTAAACTATCATTTGAGTTAATAACAAAAAAATGGTAAACTTGTCCATTTAACTCATTTACAACACTGTCTATTTCTTGCATTTATTTCTATTACATCTTAACCAACATATTTTTATAGCTTGAAATTATTTCAATTAAGCTTACCCAGTTTTGAAATAAGCCCTAGCCTATATTTTCCGTAAATAACAGAGCTTTTTTATTTTGATAACGGAGAACCAAGGATTGTCGAACACTGCGCAAAATCGAAATAAGCAAGAGCGAACAAAGCAGCAAAACAAGAGCACTAAAAGCTCTCTATTTTGAAATTTCTCTTCATAAATATTCAGTTCCAGAATATTCCATATTTCTTCAACTTCCCATCACTAGTCGTAAGTATCAACCACCTTGGCAGCGACCAATAGCAAGGTAGCATTTTGAGTACAGTTAACCAAAACACATGGCGGGCTTTGAAATCCAAACATAACCTTGTTTGTCAAAAATAGTGTTCAACAAGTTGTCAGTTTTTGTTTAGACCGTTAAAAAAATTAAAAAGTGTGGAATTATCGATACAAATATGGCCAACAGAACAAAAAATTATCCCAACACAGTAAACCTAGAGACGATAGCCTGCGAAAAGTACATGGCAAGATTGTTGAACAAGGAGAAATTTTTGACTAGTGCCATGCTACCCTCAAAGACAGCTAAGGAAAAGACAGTGAAGCAACTACCTCCCAACACCAACATAAGCCAACTAACAAAGTACAAACAGACTGTTAGGCAACAGAATATGCCTTCCCCAAAACATAATCTAAGACCTGATACCCTCACAGGCTTTGCTGATGATTCAATAGTCGAAGTTACAGTTAAGACAACAAATCCTCCTAGACAGAGATCACGATCGACGACCGTAGAGAAGGAGCCCTGGAGCCAACTATTGAAGCAGCAACGAAGTGGAGATAAAATTTCCTTATTTGGAAATTTTGATCCCTTGAGAACTTTGCACTTCCTTGCCAAAGAGTTGCAATATCAGTTACAGTCTGCCTTGCCAGGTAATATACCCACTCACCAAGCATACTGTACTGCTCTAACTTCCTGCATAAAATATTGCACACAATAGATAATATTGAACAAAAAATCTGTTAGTTTCTAAGCAATCCACTTGTTTTGCCAATTTTTCTGTACCTATCCAAATTTAATTAACAAAAGTATTTGCTTTATGTGTCATTCTATTTTTTTTTTGCCTTCTACATTTATGTCAACTATTCTTGTTCACTAACTAAAAGGCTGACAAAATAGCACTTAATGCTTGACCCAAAAACACTGATTTGTCAAAGCCTTATGACACCTATTACAAAATTCCAGTTAATGAGTAAATAATAGTACATTTATTTTTTCAGAGGACAGCACTCTTCAACAGATGGTAGCAGATATGCAGCATGCACTTAAAAGAATCCCACCAGAAGTAGCTTCAACAGTTCATTTGCAACAAGCAATTGAGATGTTTCCTTTAAGAAAAAGTTCGAGTTCTGAAAATAATGTGAGTTTCCATGCTTCTTTAAAATCACAGTATCTGGCTTAACCAAGTATATAACTGATATATCTTCTGGATTCTATAATTGCAGCAGGAGGGTTAGAATGATTGTGTGTTTTTTTTTGTGCAATTGTAACTTGGACTTTGGAGCCTTAATGTTATTTTAAGTATGTAGATATGACAGTTAAACATTTAATATTTTGATAATGGCTCATGTGAATTAAAAAATCCAAGAGGCAGCTTTTAAATAGAATACCCTAGCTTTAAGACACTGATATTAATTTTTATTTTTTTTGCAAAAACTAGTAGCACTCTGTTTTCCATTGAATATAGAGGCCTGCTGGCATGAAAGCTGCTGATGAAAGTAATTTAGAAACAGTTTAAAAAATGTGACGTTTAGAAATATTTTTTATTAAACCAAAATTCGTATCAGTATCTCTGTTTTCAACAAAAGTAACAAGGCTAGTTCAAACACTCCTTATTATGGATACAAATATCAATTTTGGGCCATGCTTATACATATAAACTTTTTTGCATACTTTAATGTGCTAAGTCTGATTTAATTTCATGATGACATTCACCCTGTAGAAGAAGTTGTCGAAGTTGTTGAGGGAGATTGATGTTATGTGTAATTACAGCTGAAAAAATTTGACACAGCAACAGTAGGTACCCAAACACTCCCAAATACTGAGAAGGAAGATAATCTCAGGCTGCAGAAAATAATGGAAGAGAGCACAATTAAACTCGAAGATAGTTGTAAGCAAATGGAGAAGCTGTGTACCAAACTGAAAGAGGAAAAAGATTCACTTGAAAGGTCTCTAGCTGAGGAGCGAAGAATTGTGCAAGGCTTGGAGAAAAAAGTATGGGATTTGGAAGTACAAAAGGTGAAGCTGTAAATTTTAAGCTAGTATTCAAATAAATATTTTGTACTTTTCAGAAAGAAATCTTGGAGCCTAAAATAATGATATTAGAAGAAGAGAAGTCCAAGTTAGAGAGAAGCTTGGATGATTTAGCTAAAAAAGCGGAAACACTCATTTCTGTAAGGGAGAAAGAAGAATTCAAAAATCAACTAACTGAAGCAAGAAACTCAAACTTTTGCTTGGAACAAGAGCTTTGTAAGGTCAAACATCAATTGAGGCTGAATACCATAGAAAAAGAGAAATATATAGCAATTCTGTCAGTGCGAGATAAGCAGATAAATGAAATAAGAAATGAAATGACACAACTTCAAGAGGTAGTCAATCAACAGCTGATGGAGTTACATAACAATGCATTCCACTCAATTCCAAATAGTGACAATGCGGCCTGTAAGTAAAGTACTTTCTAAGTACTGAGTCCATAGCAGATTTAACAAAAGTCGATTAATTATAGTTTAGAAGGCCTTACATTTTAAATTGCCATTCTCTAGCCACAAACCAAATGTTAGAAAGCATGAAATATCAATAGGGACAACAATGCACAAGCCTCTTATTGCTTAAAGCACTTTTTTAATTGTATTCAACTAAATGAAAGCTCCTTTTCTATGTCTGACATATCAAAACACCAGTATACACTATGTTTTGCTTTCAGCTTGTCCACCAGATGCAAATGCTGATAAGAAACCTGTAAATGGCATAGGTGATTCCACTATCTCAACCATTTACAGCAATGATGAACAACAGCAACACTATAGCTCAAAATCTAATCATTCCTTCAGAGATCTACCTTCGGGGGACATTGACTTGTCTGTGGTTTTGCAAGATTTGCCTGACAGTGGCTCTTTGAAGCTTGATGCATTTAAAGATGTAAGAAAATGATTACTTATGATGAATTGTATTTTAAGACTAAATATGGATGATGTAACTTCAGAAACTCATTCCGTCGTCGTCTATCTGATCTATTACCTTTTATCTAGCCAATAGATAGAACCTGTTTCATTTCTGCAGTTTGAGAACGGCTGTTATGATAGCTGAAACGTCAGTAACGTCATTTATTACTCATTATTGATTATTAATGGTTTAATCGTTGAAGAAATTTAGCAGTTCACATCACACAAACATAGTCTTTGTCCATATTTTATTAATCGACCAGAACATATGAGGTTCCAATGCAGTTAATGGAACAGTTTCATACTAAGGATTGTTATAGGATATAGACGTGGAAAAGATAGATTCGCATTCTAGCATCAGAAGTATGGTGAGCGAGATTAAAAGAGCTGCTTATGTTGTGGCAAATACCCCTAGATAGTTGCAGTATTTCTAAGTTGGTGAGCAATTCTCCTGGAGAAAGAGTAAACGATGATTTTAGACTTACAGTCTGTAAATATTGTACAAAATTGTGGCTTAATGTTGTATCTTCATGTATTATCTTTACACTTTATGGGTGAAATAATGAAAATAAATATTTATGGAAAATATGTTTGTGTATGATTCACTCGTTGCTAGGACCAGATGATAAAAAAATGCTTCCCAAATTGTGACTGCTGAAGATATTGATCGAACAAGGTTATGAATTTATATATATATATATATATATATATATATACAGGGTTATCCAAATTAAGTGTCCACCATTGATAACTTTGTTATTAGTAAAAATACAAAGTTGTTTAAATTAGCAAACTAGTAGCATTTTTAACGCTGGTAAAAATGAGAAATAAAAAAAAAACAATTGAGAGTCGTTATTTTGATTTTTTTCAGTAAAATAACATTTTTTTAAATGGAAACCCCTGTATATTATATTTTTTTCTGTTAAAGCATCAAATTTTAAACAAAAAAGTTCTTAATGACTTTTCCGCTAAAGTCAAAAATAAAGTCAAAATAACGATAAATATTTTTAATTATTTGCAGTATTATAATATTAAGACGGCTATGAAAACAACATGGCGTTCGCGATTTGACAGCATTAAGATAAGCGACAAATTGTTAAACTGGACATACTCGCAACTAGAAGGCTTTGGAAAACAATGATAAAATCAAATAATGTCAAACATTAGTGTAAATACTTGTTTATAAGCTTTATTGTGTCATTAATTTAAAGAAAAATGTTCTCCCATGAAGAAAAGTGTGATATGTTAGAATGCTATTTAGTGTGCAGAAAATCCTCCTTGAGAGCAAGAGAATACTACAGTGAATTATATCCCGCTCGCATTCAACCGTATGAACGATATTTTCTGAGACTTTATCGAAAATTTAGGGGCAACGAAAATGTTTTTGCTAAAACAAGGGCAAAAAAAGAATTCATAATAAGCGAGGCCACGGAAATTGCAGTTATTGGATATTTTGAAGCTTATCGTGAGAATTCAATAGCAGATATTCTCAAGGACTCTAATTTCAGTTATGGTACTGTTCAAAGGATTTTAAAAAAATACAAATTTATCTTCTTTAAAAAAAATTGTTATTGTATTTTGTAAGATTATAAGTTGATGTTGAAAATAAAGTTTGTCGATACAATTTAATTGTTTCAGATTGGAGGCCATAACTTCAACAATTTGTAACCTAGGAGAAAAGTTATTGTAAGCTTTTTTGTTTAAAATTTGATGCTTTAACAGAAAAAAATATAATATACAGGGGTTTCCATTTAAAAAAATGTTATTTTACTGAAAAAAATCAAAATAACGACTCTTAATTGTTTTTTTTTATTTCTCATTTTTACCAGCGTTAAAAATGCTACTAGTTTGCTAATTCAAACAACTTTGTATTTTCACTAATAACAAAGTTACTAATGGTGGACACTTAATTTGGATAACCCTGTATATATATATATATATATATATTATATATATAAGTTGTTCTTAAGTCCTTCGCATTAGTAAACGTTTCGTCACAAAGTTAAATTCATCTTTAGAGATCAGACTGATTGACGATGGCGAGAGAATAACCCGTCGTGACGTGACCTCCCCATCTTTTTTTCTGAAAATGACTCTGAGATCGACTAATCTACGAGTGTTCTGGCATACAGTTCCCCTCAAGGTAATAGAATCACGCCCACTATCAGTTATTGTATTCTCTCATTTCAAGAATCGGTCCTATGAAGATTAGGGTTTTGCGAGGTGTGAGAAAAATAGCATTTTACTTCCCACGCATACTAGCGGGGAAATATTGTAATCGCGAAGATTTCATGTTTTTTGGATGTTCACCACATCACGAAAGCCATGCCACTCATTTCCGTCAGTCTGTCCGCTAATCTTATAACCGCTTATCACTTGAGAAATACCGCTCGGGTTTCGATTAAATTTTTATACAATGTTACTTCTATGCCAAAGACGCAAAAGCTTTGTTGTTTTTGAAAATCGGTCCAGTGGCGGAGATGTTTCGGACGGTCCTGGTCATTTTCGGAGAAATGTTGAGTAGGGGTTACAAATTGGTGGGCAGCATATATCTGGATTTTTTTAAGTTGGTATATGTATACGCCTCCAACCCCAATAATTCTATGCACTTGCTACTTGCCGCTTCTGCTTGTGCTACCGGCAGCGTGCTGGTCTAGGTAAGTGTTCTAGTATTCTGCCGCGTCTGACTGGTTAGATATCAGGGAGATGCGACGTTACCAGATGGGCTTCCGGTAAAGTATGGAAAAAGATGTCTATGGATTAAGTGTGAAGATCTCTTTTTCTCAGAGGGTCTAGCTTATGCTGAACATAATCTTTCATGATGGATGACGGCGTCGTTGCGTGGAAAATGCATAGTCAACCTACTTCACGCAATTTTTGTTAACGCAGATATTAAAGCGGTATAATTTGCATCAATTTTTGAAAATTGATGCCAATAATCTGAGTATGCAATCAAAAATGCAATTTTGACAATATAAAAAAGCCAATTTCTAATAAGTATTTTTCTTTCATCGATTAGTGTCGCGGAAGAAAAAACACATGGTGCTCTAGCGGAAGGTTCCTATTTATTTTTTAATTTTTCCGCAATGATCCTTCTCGTTATACAACTCCACGAATTATCGGCGAAAATGAATATTCCATACGCTATGCATTGTGGTTCTTCCGCTGTGCCAAATACACACTAACTGATATTTTTGATTGTCCTCCAAACCCCTCAAAATTCATATCAATATTTAAACAATGGCTCGCGCAAACGAATGCCACGGCAAAACAGACATCCCGGAAAAATTTGGTCGTTTTGCGAGCGTCTGTCAATAGGATGTTGGAATACGCATGCAACATACAAGGTAGGTAGTTTGTAATTCAAAACATGAACCTGGGAAGGTAGGAAAACGTAAATAATCATGTATCGGTATTATATTTTTCGAGATATACACAACCTGCAGTAAGCGATTGCTAAACGTATCCATTCTTAGAGTCGCACAGTAGTCCATTTATAAGAGAAAACTAGGAAAACATTAAAAAATAAAGCAACGATAATTAATGAACTTAATGCTACTAGGCAGTCTGATAAGTACCTGAAAATTCTAAGAGATGGCACTAGTATTCACTAATGCGAACCATTTTTGTCGAGCCTGATCCTTCAAATGACACCTGTCAAAACTTCAGCCATTCATGTTTACACATTTACAAGTTACAGCACTGAGAAGCGACTAACCTCAGAGTTTTTTTTAATATGGAAAAATCCGAGTTTCGAGTTTTGATCAAACACTACTATCTACGCAAGAAAACGATATCCGAGACCAAGGCCAAGCTGGATAAGTATTACCCGGACTCTGCACCGTCGATTGGAACGATTCATAAGTGGTTTACGGAGTTTCGTTGTGGCCGTACAAGCACAGTTGATGCTGAACGATCTGGGCGCCCAAAAGAGGTCACTACACCAGAAAACGTCGAAAAAATCCATGATATGATGTTGAATGATCCCAAAGTGAAATTGAGAGAGGTAGCTAATGCTGTAGGCATGTCATTGGAACGCGTAGGCAATATCGTCCATTCAGTTTTGGGCATGAAGAAGCTCTGCGCGCGATGGGTGCCGCGTTTGCTCACAGTGGACCAAAAACGAATTCGTGTGACGACTTCCCAGCAGAATTTGGCATTATTTTCGCGTAAGCCGACCGAGTTTTTGCGACGATTTGTAACCATGGATGAAACCTGGATCCATTACTACACTCCTGAGTCAACGCAACAGGCAAAACAGTGGGTTCCACCGGGCCGAAGTGCTCCGAAGCGTCCAAAAACGCAACAATGGGCCGGAAAGGTTATGGCCTCCGTATTTTGGGATGCACATGGCATAATATTCGTGGACTATCTTGGAAAAGGTAAAACCATAACCGGAGCATATTATTCATCATTATTGGACCGATTGAAAATCGAAATCGCCGAAAAACGACCGCATTTGAAGAAGAAAAAACCGCTTTATCATCACGACAATGCGCCTGTTCATTCATGCTTAGTTGCACAAGCAAAATTGCACGAAATCGGCTTCGAATTGGTTCCTCAGCCACCGTATTCACCAGACCTGGCCCCCAGCGACTATTACTTATTCCCTAACCTGAAGAGATGGCTCATCGGTAAGCGTTTTTACTCAAATGAGGAGCTCATAGCTGAAACTGAAGCGTATTTTGGAGACCTTCCGATCGAGTACTTTTCGGACGGTATCAAAAAGTTAGAAAATCGTTGGATTCGCTGTATCGACCTAAAAGGAGAGTATGTTGAAAAATAAACCCGACTTTGGCCAAAAAAACGTCTCCGTGTTTCATTTTTCAGGGACTTATCAGACTGCCTAGTACCTTTACCATGGCAAGCTAGCAGTCTCTGTAGTATCTCCGCATTTGCTCGAAAAAATATTCTGACTCGAGTTTTTTGCATAATCTTATTCAAAAAGGACATCTTTTAATCTGCGTGTTGACAGGCCCAAAACTGCATCAAAAATTATTTGAACAATTTTTTTAAATAAATTCCGAAAATTATTTTTTCTACTCGGGTCAGTCTTTTTAAATTTTTGGGATATTCTGAACAAAAAAAGGTGCAATATAACTTTTCATAATTTTCAAGATATGAGCTATTTAATATTTGAAAAAGAGCAAAATATGCAATTTTTGACATCAAAAAACAATATGAGAGAATGTTCATGTTCCTAAATATTCTTCCAATATTATTAACAAAATCCTAAATCATTTTAGGGCATATTTTCATCATAAACCTTCGTTTTTTAATTATTTGTCAAGCTGTCATTCAATGTATATTCTGTCTGGGTGCGAGAGAGATGTAGCTGGCGGCCACCCCTATGCTTCATCGCTTTAGTGATCACGCACGTGATTAAAAAACAAAGGTTTACAGTAACAATAACGGCTGAAATGCTTTGGGGGTTTGTGAGTGGATGAATTTTCGTTTTTTTGGGATTCATATTCTGCACTTTTTTAAGACAAAAGCACGCTTTTTGTTCAGTATGTTCTGAAAACTCTAAAAATGCTTTGACTGGAACAAAAAACAATTTTTGGAATTTGTGTAAAGAATTTTCTTAAACAATTTTTGACGCAATGTTGGACCTGGCAACATGCCTATTTGTTCAAAGGGATCTTTCTTAAATAAGATAAAAACACAAATCTAAACATGTTTTCGAGCAGATAATTCCTGGACTATATCAGACTTCCAATTTATGGTGTATCATTCGACACTGCTTTTTGCGAAAAATTGGAGGTGTTCTGTATGATCCCTTGTATGTCGAAAAATTGTTAGAATTTGTCACCATTGTTGTTTCCAGGTATTGCCATATGGTATGTAATCGAAATCTGTTACTCAACCTATATTAAATTGGTTCATTCAGAAGCCAATAAATGACCTTCAAATACCTTCCTAAAGACAAATTGGTCACTAATTTGGACACAACAGTCTCAAAAACATATAAGATACGCGCCTGGACTCAAATATTGGAGAAATTTCATAGTTGTCTTTAAAGCGACCTTGAAATTACATTTAAATGACCTCTTAGTGGCTTGCTGACCAAGCGACCAGGAAAACCTAAACATGTGGTCGGGCGAAACTGCTCGGCTAATTTTGAAAGTGTCCTTGATGTTACCTCCAAATGTCCTTATAGTGACAAAGCAACCCCGGATTTCAAATCAGCGACCAAAAATGCTCGCCTGTACTGAGAACATCATATAAATGCCGTAGAAATTGTATTTTTGCCAGAATCTCGGTGTGCTGGACGACTGTGCGGCGCTTTAGCGTCGGCCTATCAGATAAGCAAGCTTAAAACCAGAAACAACGTACTATATAAACTTTCTGGCATCGTTTGTGTTGCAAATGCCACATGAGAACATCTGCCCTGTATTTAACTTATTCTCCGACAGAATACTGTAGTTCAGTTTTGATTAACAGTATGTTCACTAATGTAATTAACTTCCACCTGACCTACAACAATGAAAACAATATTATGCGCCCACGCCCTTGCAGTCGCTACCGACACTTTCAAATATTGCCTCTCCGCCGCATCGCCGTAAAGCAGCTCTTAAAAAGAAGTGGGCGAAGTGTGGTAACGTCTCTTAGCAATTGGCCCAGCAACTGGTTTGTGAGAACTTCTTTACCAATGAAACCTGGAAGAGCTCAAACTCACAAAACCTTTGTCACCGATCCCACATGACGGCTACCAGGACTTGAACTTTCAAGAAGAACCTGGGTCATATTAAATCGCTTAAGTGGCGGGCAGAGACTTTTGACTGCGGCTGTGGCAACCCCATGCATATATTGTATCATATTGCTACAAACTGTTTATTAAGAAGATGCCCTAGAAATGAACGAGGCACGAGAGGCTGCACTGCTGGCTAAATGAACCTAATATACATTAATTCCACGATTTGTAGTCACCTGTTACGTTGTGTAACATCGGATATATTTTTACTCATTTTACTTATTTGCATTGTGAATTTATCTTGTATTTTTAATACCTAACCCAGGCTGTATCATGTATGGCATACGAATAAATGAAGGGAAATGATATTCCTATATAGTACAAAATATGCGGATGACTGTCTTGTCAACGCGCCCACGTTGGCAAAACGTCTATCGGGCCGATGTTCATGTTCTCTCCCAACGATGTCACGTCGCTATATTTTTCAGGTGCTCTATTTCTATAAAACCATTCATTTCGGCTGAAAATAGGGAGGCACGGCCGATTTAGGACGGATCTTATGTTCGATCAAACACTGTGGATTATGCCGAAGGATTCACATTTATATTTATTTTAAAACTTCAACTCAGGATACAGCAAAAACCATTTTAATATTAGTTTTTTATTCGTCTATTGCCGGATATACTCTATATTGCGAAACAGGGCCATTTTCTTGGGTATCCAAATGGGCAACTTTGCACCCACTAAGGGCGATTTTAACAAGTCGTATGCATCTACGCTGACAAGTTCTCGCTATCAAACGAAGGGTACATTGGCAAAAGATGGAATGTCACAAAGACCAAGTTTTGTGTAATTAACATTTTAATGTTTGAAAGTCAATAACTTTTTTAATTATTAATTCATTCTACAATTAGTTAATATGAACTTAAGTTTACATCATAAGGCTAAGTTTTAGACACATGAAAACTGATGCAGAGATAACTAATTGTAAATGTTATCAAAAATTAAAGTAATCTAATTATTTGAAGTACAAAAACAAGGAATGTCCATCACATCCAAAACAAAGGATCTTTGAAACTAATTAATGTTACTAATTATGTGTGAGTAATGCTATCAAAAAAGGCTTGAGCTTCAGCAGGACACAATTTTTTCAAGAATATGAGGTCCTCATGCTTCTCTGCACTGCAGGCAAAATCTGGCAATTCTAACTGATTGCTACATGAAGAATCGTGCTGGATCCTCATTTGTCTACTCAGTATAGGGAAATTTTTCCACTAACCGCAGTTAGTTCGGTGCAAAATTAATCCTGGATGATCCCTTATGTTCATTATTTCTCTTTGTGACTGGACTGGAAAAGAGCACTTTTCCAAATACATATCTTGGAAAAAGTTAGTTGAGTTCCTGATGATTTCACCCGTACCCACTTCAGTCACATCAAAAAGCTTGGACCTTTGGCGACTTATTTTAAGAGAAGAAATTAAATTAACCAAGTCCACATTTTTGTCGCATTCTAAGCATGAATGGCCACGGATAGGATAAGTTACTTTTATCGAATCCAAAAGCTTCATTGTATGGACCACAAAATGTATAAACCTCACTACAGTGTAGTTCTTATTCTGCCCACCTGCTGACTCGCAATATACAGGGTGTAAACGTTATGATAGTCATCATTTAAATGGGTGATAGAGGGGGTTAAGAGAAGCAAAAAGTTTCATATAACAAGGGGGTCAAAACGGCATTTTCTTAGAGAAAAGCAACTTTAAAGTAAAATAAAATCTGACAACGCCGCAATGCCAGACGCAAATTACTACTAACCACTCTTACCGTTTGCGATCGATTGCCGGTTCGATAAGAGTGATGAAAGACCGACGCGCTGTTGTCATGTGTGTTTTAAATATTTAATTTAATGAAACTTACTTACTTACTGACTACAAATTTAGGCTTAACTTAGAAAAACTTAATACCATTTATTTGTTAATTACCCAATTTGAAAACGTTTTAGATTAGATTATAAAAATTAATCAGATTGTGGTCGATATAAAGCACTTAAGGTTGTAGACTATAAAGCCATTTAGACGAAAATCTATTGACTGTTGGACCATGGGTCATATGAACTTTTTGACCTGTTTTGACCCCACCCCCCCTAGGGTAGGGTGCCCTAACTTTGCGCAGGAGGTAAGATTGCGCAGCTCCCATATTTCGAAAGCAAAATGACATTGTCGACTAACTTCTCTCGTGTTCTGGGCCGTTGCTGTGAGTGAGTGCGCTGTAGAAAAAACAAACCAAAAACCTATCAAAACCTAGTCGCAAGGTAAGTTTGAAGTTAAATATCGATTCTGATGTTATTGTTTGTCAATTTCAAACTGTAATTACATGAAAGCCTGAAGTACTATCAAAGATTTGACCAGTGTTTTCGTTTGCGTGATTTAACCTATACAGCCGGCGAGCGATATAATTTTTGATATTTTCAATAGATGGCGTTAGGAGTTACATAATTGTATATTGGGCTATTCCCTAAGACTGCGCAGAGTCACGGTCCGTAACACTACGCGCGCAGACTTACCCTACCATAACTTTTAATTTGATATAACAACCTTAAATATTCATTTTCAGAATGCCTAATCAAAGAAAAAGGTCGTCGGAACGTTCGCTGTGCCCTCAATATGTTTTAGAGGAAGCTAGAAGACGAATAGAAAATGGTGAAAGCAAAAGAAAAGTAGCATCGTCGTACGGGATGAAAGAAAGTACTTTGCGGTATCGCCTGAAGAGAAAAGAAGCTGCAACAAAGCTTGGTAGATATGATTTTCCCCGAAATTGAACAGGAATTTTGTAATCATTTGGAAGATCTTGACAATATGTTTCAAGGGATGACTCCTAAGAATTTGAGGATTGCTGCTTACGAGATTGTGGTGAAAAATAATATTCCTCATCGTTTCAATGCCGAAAAGAAAATGGCAGGCAAACACTGGCTTCGTGGATTTCTCAGTCGGCACCCAGATCTTTCATTAAGACGTCCAACTTCCACAAGTATTGCTAGGGTGATGGGATTTAATAAGCCACAATATGAAAGGTTCTACAAAAATCTAGCAGAATTGATGGACAAGTATAAGTTTCCTCCAACTTCCATTTATAATATGGATGAAACTGGTCTGTCTACCGTACCCAACAATCCTCCAAGGGTCATATCAAAAAAAGGAAAGCGCGCTGCTAATAAGATTTCTAGCGCTGAAAGAGGAACGAACGTAACCGTAGTGAATGCTATGAGTGCATCTGTACACTTCATTCCTCCCGCTTTCATATTCGGTCGCAAAAGGATGAAAGCAGAATTGCTGGATGGCGCACCACCAGCGTCTATTGGAATGATCTCAGACACAAGTTATATTAATAGTGAACTTTTTTTAAACTGGCTAGGTCACTTTAAAGATCACACAAGACCAACTAAAGAACACCCTATCCTTCTGGTTCTTGACAATCATGTGTCGCATTGTACAATAGGGGCTGTAGACTTTTATCGAGCGAATAACATAATAGCTCTAACCATACCTCCACACAGCAGCCACAAGATGCAACCACTAGTCAAAGGTTTTCGTAGTGCGTTGAAGACTTATTTTGCGAGCGAATGTGAAAAATGGATGAGAAACCACCCTGGCAGAGCTATAACTGCTTTTCAGATGACGTCTTTATTCACTCCAGCGTTTAATAAAGCAGGTACAGTTGGTTGTGCTGCTGAATGTTTCAAGGTGTCCGGAATCTACCCATACAATCCAGATATCTTCACAGATGCAGATTTTCTTCCTAGTGCTGTGACCGAAAGAGAAATGGATGATAACCAATGTTCAGAATCACAACAGGAGAATCCTCAAGAAGCAACACCCCATGAACAGAGAACCAGTTATGGATAATGAGCCTCGTGCTTCTGTTTTCAACAAGGAGCCAAAAAAACCATCAACTCCGAGGAACGCTTTTACAGCAATTGAGAATGTTTCTCTAGTAACAGAAGCTCCAGCCGAACCAGTTGTGAGTTCTGAGTCAGGGCAAAAGAAAAACTTCGACGGTCCTCCAGCTGAAAAAAATGGTGGCATCTTCCAAGTTCCTGCACAGGTACCGTCTTGCAGCAATGAATCGGCCGCAATCAAAGTGAAACTCCAAGATATTTGCCCTATACCAAAATCAGGTATAAGAAAGACCGCAAAGAAGCGAAAACATAAGAAATCTGAAATACTTAGTGGTTCTTCATATAAAGAACAGCTATTAGTAGAGAATCAGTTGAAGAAAACTCCTGAGAAAAAAATGAAAAAAGTTTGCAGAAAGCCTTCTAAATATCCTAAAAAAAAGAAATGGGCATGCGGTGGCTGCAATGAGGAGTATAAAGAGCCGATTACAGAGGATTGGATCGGTTGTTCTGTTTGTTCTGAATGGTGGCATGAGAAATGTACGGCCTACGTAGGCATTGGACAGTTTAAGTGCGATTTATGCGCTTAAGATACCTTATTCTGTTTTAGTTCCTACTTTTAAGTTTTTGTTATCTATGCGCAATCTTAACGATCTGAATGCGCAATATCCAGGGACCCGTAGTGGTAAGGCTGCGCATTTACATCTTTGTCTTTTTTTTTAATTACTAACAAAATTGTTATCAGATGTTTGAATAAAACTTAAATTAACCAAGTACATTAATGTGAGCCTAAATAGAAATTAAGATTATTACAATAGGTTATTGATTCACGATTCTACGGCTTATCAAACCTTAAGTGCGCAGACTTGGGGCACCCTACCCTATTACCCATTTCAATAATGACTACCATAATGTTTACACCCTGTATTTTCAAATGATTCACGCGACGATCAAAGTAATTTGTCAAGTAGTGAAATAGAAATAAAACTATTTCATCTGAACCTATTTCAGGATAGGTGTAAAAGTAAGAGCTAGTATCCCTCAAGACATGTAAATTAAATGAGTACATTGACAACTGGCGTTTATAATACACATCATTAGTGGTGATGTTTGGCAGTGAGACATTTTTTTGTTAGTCCTTGGCAATTGCTTGAAATTCAGCTTCAATCCTGCTTTTGATTCTAGCATTCTTCTTCCTATCATAAAATGTTTGAGCCTTCTTCTTGTGCAAATTGTTCAGGATAGTTTAACGTTTCAGCTCATCATTATTTCCTTTCGCCATCAGTGCCTTGGCTTTTATTTAAAATTCATCACTAAGAGCCGTTTTACACACAAGAGAATTACTCCGAAAATTATGGTCATAATTATGCCGAAAATTTTTGCTGTCGTATTACACGTAAAAGAATTCTTGTGAAAATTTTCATGGTAAAAATATAAAACCCGTTCTATATTATATGCGCGAGAATCGGCGCAGAGGGTTATTTCCGTGCATGTCAATATCAAATGTCAACGACAACAACAACAACATAACCTCACTTAACATTTGTGGGAGTGGTCCTGTTCGAGTCGTACGAAGGAGCGTTTATTATTGTTTATTCATAATGTCGTGGAATCTGGAAGAATTTACAATGTTGTTGGAGGAGTACCAAAAATGGCCAAACCTGTACAAGGTGAAGTCACCCAATTACAAAAACAGAAATTTGCGGCGTCAGGCGCTGGATGCGATAGTCCAAGCATTGAGAAGTTTTATAATATTAACCAAGATCTCGATTTCAAAAATAAATTTAAATTATCGACGTCTGTTGTCTTTCCGATTATATTGGACGTCATACCCGTTAAGGTTATGTCCATTTGAAAATATGCGCAGGCGTATCATATGAATTACTCCGAAATTTTGTCTGCTTGTGTCATACAGGTTGTAGAGAAAATCTTCAATATTTTTTCCATGCAAATTTTCAGCATAATTATGACCAGAATTTTCGGAGTAATTCTCTTGTGTGTAAAACGGCTCTAACGCTACAAGTATCGGTACGAGGGTAACCGAACAATATGTTAAATTCTGCGTTAAATATTTTTCTCTAAATTTGATAAGATTTTCAAGTTGTGGGTATTGATCCGAATACATCTTGAATTTTTTTTATTCAGATCTGCAGGTAACTATTCGTTTTTGAAATCGTTCAAACTGTAGTGGCTTTGTCTCCTTTTGTATGATTTAATATGGTTACAAAGCAGTTGCTTAACACTAAGGTTTAACCTTCTGTGAGAGCCTGATTTGCCTCTTTTATAACATGACACATTGCCTGTTGATTTCAATGATTAGGAGTGCTCAATTTTACCTTTGCTGACTCCAAATATGGACAAAAAGGCCTTGTAGCAAACATCCATACTTACTGTTAATAAACCTAAAATCCTTATTTCATAAACAACAACGTGGTAATTTGTTGATTTTACCTACCCTCAAAATTAATTGTTTGTCGACTGACAGGTGGACATTCCTTCTTACGTTCTGTTACGTTAAGCTTTGTGCCTGCAGTACGTTTCGAAACGTGGGCGAAATTATGGATTACACTGGTTTTTACACTTGTTGATTAATACCCAATGAAATTACACAGAAAAATGCAGATGTTGCCATCAGTATCTCATTTTTGCGACGTTCCTTGTTTTGCCCCTGTACCCTTCATTAACATGCTCATTAAAAAATTGATGCTCTGACGGAAGACGAAGTTGACGTTATCCTTGATGTAAGCTTATGTTGCTGCCAAAATTTTCCTGTTCATTGAAAATTGTCCTGATAGAAGCGAAAAAAATGTACAGATCAGTCATTCCCCGTTGATCAACTTTCATACGAAATTAATGCTATAGCTATACGATTTTTAAGGTCACTTCACATGAGCTGCCATGTAAGGTTCGAACACATAGTCGTTTCTAGAACCTTGAGGATCCCTTTTTGAGATGATGCTTTATTTATTTTGTTGCTTGTGACATGACAGTTATTCGCTATAAAACAAGGTGATCTTTATATCAGGCCTCCTTATTAAATGGTTATTATTAGATTTTCCCAAGATGCATTTTTAATGGAAACGGTTTGCTAAAAGTAGGTGCGTATTCTGAGTCTAGACAACGTAAATCAAGCAATACTGTTAAAACAAAGCAATCTTTTAAAAAAACTCGTTTATTAAATAATAACAAAATTTGACACGATATATTTCTGTAGACAGAAGAACCAAAATAAGTAGGTCGCTGAACTCTTAGAGAAAAGTAGTACCTAAAATAAGGTAGCCTTGAAGTTGATAATGCAACAAGGAGGCTTTAGATCTAGAGAAGCTGACGTGTTTCTTGGGGAAGATATTTTGCAACTCTCCTATCACTCGGGTGTGAAGAAGCTCTCAGGTTAAATCAAATGAAGACTGTAAGCATTCGGTGTCGCAAGATACGTCAATGTAGCGAGTCACCCTGTTAAATACGTATCGCAGTAGTTTTCCGTTGGCCGTAGTACAAAACTCTATCCGTACTTGTCAGTCATATGCAAAATTAAATTATAATCTGACAATGACATGTATTCCATTCGTCTACGCAATCATTTCAATTAAGTTGGTGTTTTATCTTTCGCCCGCATATTTTGTGGCTTTTTTCATATTCTGTGGAAATCACATCCACCTGTCACAGATAGGTATATGCGTTTGCGTAGGTAGACAGCGACATTATTCCGTTTTCCAAATGATTGTGATGGTTGTGAATTATACGCTTCATGTGTGCACGCTTTATAGATGCCGTGACCACATTGTAACAATGACCATTTCATGCAATGTAATATTATCCATTGGCTAGGTCACGATGGGCTTTGACCAGATCAATAATAAATTGTTTATCGATATGATCAACCAAACACCCAGCTACTTCATGAAATGGTCAAGCTTATTTGATCGAATCGTGAAATAATTACATTAATTAACGATAGAGTGAAGTTAAAATTCGAATAATTCATTATTACAT